TTCTGTGTAATCTGCAGTCTATTTAGGAATATAATGTAGTGAACGTGGCTCTCATTCCACGATACCCCAGCAGAACTACCGTGTCCCGCAGTTTAGGTAACTTCAGTGCACTGGAGTGTTACAGGTGTTGAGAGGACACCGAACCCTTTGCAATCCTCATGGGATTGAGGAGGGAGAATAAACCAACACCGAGCACCAGCTGTATTCAGATAGCTGAAAGATGAGATTCGCATTAAAAAGAACATTTGTCTCTCTTCTAAGATATCTTCTACTGCATAGTTATTAAGCATCATATATTAAGCAGGGCTTGACTTCCGTTTCAGGTGAAAGGATTGTGGAACTCCAGATAATCAGTATATTGAAGCAAATTTGAATTAGTGGGCAGTTTGGGAGGAGAAAGACAAGGACCAAACCTCTGCTCAACTTTTTGAGTGTCCGTCTGTTCTCTGTGCACTGTGGGAAGCCAGTCCTGTTGCACATGGGATATTTTGGGGAAGCCCCACTCTGAAGACCAACCACCATATATGGGATCTTACCAGAATCTCTTAAACCAGATTTTAAGAGATTTGGACCAGACTTCCCAGGGAAAACATGCAGGTAAGAGGGAACATGAATCTATATCCTACTGATGAGTATATCCACTTTGAGCAGGGGTTCTGATTTAATTGCTGGTAGAGGAACTTGATTAATTTGTTGTCAGATTCCAGAGCCTGGAACTGTACAGGCAATGCTTTTTGTATATTTTAGATCCTCCTCTTTCAGTGACACCTAAGGAGTTTTGATCTCAGGATTCAGTGAGTGTACACCTCTGGACTTGCCTGTGGTGTACACTGAGGATCTGCATTAGCAGATCTCACTGCTTCAGACAGGGAACATTAGACAGACAAGTTGTACTCCTCATGCTCCTTGGGGAGAGGAGGGGAAGAGGGGGCAAGAGAGCAAGAATTTGTGCCTTTGCTACACCAAAATACCCCACAAAGAACAGAAGCTTTGCTACAATATACAGAAAACGTGAATCTGTTAAATGAATTCTCTTTTTCCATCCTTTAACAATGGTCACAGAGATAAACCACAAGGTTCTAGAAATCCAGCAGCAGAACAATGAGGGCCAAGCAGCTCTCACAAAAGCTGTCAGAATGTGCTAACAAGGCGAGGAGTCAGATGCCACACGTTTAGCAGTGAACTGAGCAACATGAAACAGTAGCATTTACAGCAGCCAAAGTCAGAAGCAGCTTAGAAAGCCAAATCACAGGCAGTTAAATCTCCAGTGGTAGGATCTCACAAATTATCTTGTTTCTATTTGACTTCATGTGATTCTGGCTTTGTCAATTTTTCATTGGTTTTTTTCCACTTACTACTGTTTTACTCCCCCTGAGAATGGATATTGATATTAGTGCTTTTTCTTTCAGTGAGTCATCAGTGAGAGATGTGATTATCTTTCTTTTCAGTGAGAGAATTTTATAAAAACCAGGTGTGTACAACAGATGTGTGTCTGCATGGGATAGGTCTTGGAGCACACAGGTCTTGGCAAAAAGCCCTTGTCAGATTATAAAGCAAGGTGATCCTCCCTCTCTGCTCAGCCACACCTCGAGTATGGTGTCCAGTTCTGGGCTCCTCAGCACAAGAAAGACAAGGAGCTGCTGGAGAGAGTCTAGTGGAGGCCACAAAGACAAGTAGGAGTCTGGAACATTTCTTCTATGAGGAGAGACTGTGGGAGCTGGGCCTGTTTAGTCTGGAGAACACTGAGAAGGGATCTACTTAATGCATATAAATCTCAAAGGCAGGTGCTGAGAGGATGTTGCCAGATTTTTTCCAGTGGTGCCCAATGACAGGATGAGAAGCAATGGCCAAAAACCAAAACACAAGAAGTTTCACCTCAATATAAGGAAGAACTTCTTTCCAATGAGGCTGGCAGAGCACTGGAACAGGCTGCCCAGGGAGATTGTGGAGTCTCCCTCTCTGGACACGTTCAGAACCCACCTGGACATGTTCCTGTGTCACCTGCTCTGGGTGACTCTGCCTTGGCAGGGGTTGGACTGGATGAGGTCCCTTCTAACCCTGATGATTTTGTGACTGTGATTCTGTTTCCTCCCTCAAAAGGAAGTATGTGCACAGAAACCACATCCCTCAGGGAGTGAAGAGGCCTTCTAGAGACCCCTCATTTTTGGAGGGTTGATCCTGTGGACGTGAAGGGTTGTGGATCCAATACTTTTTTAACTTCATCTCACTCTAAGGGGGGGCTCTGAAGTCTCCTCTGAGTCTGTGCTGGCTCGCTTAGTGATTTACACTGTTTGCATGCAAGTACACAACCTGGCACATGCTTAAGACACATTCCAGTGTGGGAAGAGAGCTCAAACATCCTCAAGAGCAATGCCAATGTCTCCCCCAGTGACATTTCCTGGAGATGAGATTTTGGCTCACAGTGGCTCAAAGCTCCGTATTCAGCCATGGGCAAACTCAATTCTTTGCCTCTTTCCTTGTCCTCTCAGAAAGATGGGTAGGCAATACCATTTCTCTCTCCATACTGTTCACTTGACATACCTTTATCGTGTCTCTTTTGATTCATTTCTTTTCTCACTGACATCATTACCATTTATTATCATATGTAAGTGTTTCAGTGGTCCTGTTATTTCCTACCATCCTCTTTCTAGTCCCCTTAATCCCCCTGTGCAACCAAAATTGCACGTTTGTCCAGGTGAAGATGAATTTTTTGGTATCAAAGTATTTTTTATAACATCCTCTGCCCCACTCTGAACCTTTTTCTGTTTTAACTGCTGCTACACTGATCAGAGGTTTAAGCTGAAAAGCCGTATCAAATCTGTTTTCTAGATATTTAGTAGGTAATTTCATTCAAATTACATCTTATTTCTGGTGGGCATTACCCAGCACTGATTAATCTGCCACTGTGCTGTCTTTAGTCCTGAAGAGTTATATTGTAAGTGTACAGAAAGTTTAAATATTTGTGTAAGCATCTTTCATCTACTGGAGAGCTGAAGATTTGGAAGAATAAGTTATTTAGAAAATAGAGTTCTTTGTTTAGGTCAAAATGCAAAAGTTTATGATTTTGGCACTTGAAGATTACGTAGTTGCTGCACGTGTCATCATTGTAAGGGGACATGAATAAGTTTGTGCTTGGTAAATACCTTTTGTTTAACCACCAAAGTGATTTTGTGTGCAGGAAAGATGAAAGCAAAAATAAAAATTGCTCTCACCGTTATTTTTGTATTTATATTGCTGCAATAAAATAAAATGGCCTAATAGTCTTGTCCCAAATGCTGAATTATATCAGAATAGTCACAGGTCAGTCAGGTATTATGCTTTAATGTAATGTCCAAGAGCTTTTGGTCCACTTTATTTGGTAATACATAAGTGAGACATAGGTACAAAAATGCAATTTTATTTATTTAAGTTAGCACAGATGTCTGATAAAAGAATAAATAGAAAGTGCACTTGAAGGCCTCGATTCTACAACCAGACAAGTGGCAGGGAGCCCTTGCCCAGACACCCCATCTGCTCGTAGCACCAGGGGCCTTTACATTGATAGAGGTACAGCCAAGATGATGAACTACAGCTCACTAGTTACAGGTCTCTAGCCTTCAGCAGATTGAATTTATGTGTGTAATGATTGAGGAGGTTTTTACCGGGCTCCCCAAGGCGTGCTAGACATCAAACAAACAAATAAGGATCAACATGGGAACATAAACGCGGCCACTTCGGCTCAGAGCAGCAACTCAACCGGGTTTGAGCTCCGGCAGGTTTGGAGGCAGCCACCATTCTTCCTGCTGAGAAAACTTCCTGATTCTTCAGAACTCACTGAGGATCCCAAACACATCTGTGCCTATGCCATGCAAAATAATTTTGTAGTTGCTGCTTTTTATGTTACTGTCGTAATTGATTTTTTTTCCCATCCATTTCTTTCTTAGCCTTGCTTAGGGTTTGAGTGTATTAGAGATCATGGTTCCTCTCCCAGCATGATTTCTGCATGTTAATGTTTCTCCTTTTGGAGACTTGGAAACCATGAGATCCTAATTCTACAAAAAAATTGCATATGGAAATGAGTGATTTTATTTATGAGAGCCACTGCTCTCACAAACAAAAATTACTTACACATGAGGCCTAACACTTCATACAGGAATTCAGAGATATGTAGTTTATAGAGAAAATGAGGGGCAAAAAAAAATTATATTGTAAGATTTTTGTTTCAGTTGTAATTGTCTGGTATGGAACAATTTCCTGGTTCTATAGTTAGGGCTGTGCTTACATACCTGCTACCATCTCTGCTCCCACTGTTTCTGCAGTTAATTATAGGTTGTAATTTTTTGGAGGAGAGGAAGGTAATCAAACCTTCCCTTCGATTCAGTATTTTGCAAAATTAAACCTTCGTATCTCATATTTTGTTTTTAATTTTATCCCATTCTACTTTTAAGCTTTGTCTTCCTACTTTATATTTGCACTCTTTAATCCTGAGTTATTATCATGCAGCTTTTGCTGTGTAATTAATGTTCATCTGATTTTAGGCTTCCTTCTGAAAATCAAAGCGGGTTTAAGTTTAAGTATTTTCATTAGTACAAAGTCAAACAGAATTTAACTCTAGGCAAGAGGGTGCCCTATTCTGCAGACAGACTCCACTGACTTCATTCACTGCTGGTTAACAGCACAAGCAGCCCTAGTGATTACCTACAAATGCTGCCCATGTAAGAGTTGTAGAACAGGTCTTAAATAATTTTTCAACTTTCTTACTGTTCTGAGCTTCTTTCTGTCTTTTATGCTGGCAATTTATAAGATGCATTAGCCAAAAGATACCCAGAAATCAGCAGCAATGGTCCTGGGTAGACTGTAAATACATTTTATTATTTGGTTGTGAGATGTCTTACTCAACCTTGAGCGGAGCCTTCAACCCTTTACCGCAGCTTGAATAAATAACAACGAAATGCCCTACTGGATCAGTGATATACAGACACGTGCTCACGTGGACAGACACAGTGCTCTGGCCTTTTTCCTTATGGCTTTGTTTTAAAGAGGACATCCATGTAAGCTTTGTCCAGATCCACGGATTTCTTCTGCGCTGCTGCCCGCAGGTGCTCAGGGAGCAGCCTCCGGCCCAGGACAATGTCATCCTTGTTGCGAGGCCTCTGGGTGCGGGCGTCCTCCAGGGCGCTGTGCACGTCCTGCAGCTTCATCTGGAGCCAGTCCTGTCTCTCCACGGCGTGTCGGTGCTCCCCGAGGTTGTGCATCAACTGCATCTCACTCACTGATCTTTTCCTGCAGGAAAGAAGGGCGAAGAGAGAGGCTCGTGGTGGCCCTTCTTGAATTCCAGATCCTCGCTCAAAGGCCTGGGTTTGGGAACTTTCGTGAGGTACCACAATGCAGAGCTGGAGAAGCTGCCTCTCTGATTTGTAAGGGACAGAAAAATGTTGTTCCAGACTCCCCAGTTTGCAGGTGTCTGGGCATTTTTCTGGGGAATTTTTAAATTTTATTTAAAATGTGGTTAGCAAGCCTAGTTAGCACCTAGCATAATGGCTGAAAATTTTGGTTTATATGCTATTTTTTTCAGTCAAGGGCTGGTGAGAGAATCAGTCAAGTGGCTTAGAATGAGAGAAACAGAAGGTAAAATAACAGCATGATTAAAGAGTCCAGTAAATCAAAACCTCCCACCCAAATATTCAGTTATAGCATTAATATCTGTCATGGTACCAGTAAGATGGTAACAAATTCTATTCTGAATCACTAATTACAAAAAGCCCACAAAAGGAAACAAAGTAACTAGAATTTGTGTTTGAACAAGTGAAAGTCAAATCAATTTGACTGGATCTTTTGAAAAACAGATTTTGCTTGGTTTGTTACCTGGAGAAGAGAGGGAGGGTAGATGGTGAAATATTAGTGAGAAGGCTTAAAAAATGGGAATAGTTACGTTTTGTGACAATCCTGTTTGACTGTGTATTTGTTATTTATTTTAGCTGCTGTAAATCATCTTAGGGCTTATATGATATTAGGTCAACTAGATCAACCAAACTATGGCATTTATTCAGTGGCAGTTTTCTGTGATCATCAGAGCTAAGGAAAAATGATTCCCTGTGGATTTGAGTCTCAGTTGCTTGCTGTTGGTGTCTGAGTTCCACCTAGAACCTCACCCAGTACAAAAGATGCCTTCCTGTGTGGACCCCCAAGGATGCAGCTCACCCAGTGATATTCCTAAGAGAAGACTTAAAGAGCAGCCAAAGCCCTCCTGTGTAAAACAATGTACTTACACCATTGGTCTCCCATCAGAGTTTGTAAGAAAGCATATGGTGTATAAGAGGATTGCAGTCCGGGCCAGGGTTTTTATAGAAGTCATTTTGTCTACAAAGATAGAAATGAATACGTGTGTAAAGCTGTGTTTCAGGTAATTTCTCTCAAATCCAAAGAAAGACATCGTTTTTTGAAAAAAATAGCTTTTTTGTGAAATGGGTTAGGAATGCAAATGGAGAATTTAGTTCCAACCCTAATTTTGTTAGCAACTTACCTTCTAAGCAACTCTATAAACTTTGTTCAGCCTTAGATACCCTCCATCATGATCATCATCAGTCATCATCATCATTATCCTCTAGGTGCCTATCTCTTGCCTAACTGGGTGAAAAGCACCATGTTCTTCTAATATTATTACTGCTACTACCATTATTACTACTTTATAGCCTTCAAGTACTGTGGAATACTTTTATATAACTATGCAAGTAAAAACTTCTGTTATTTTATCTATTTCTTTTGCATATTCTTTAGAATGAAGAGGCTGAAACTTGGCGATTTTGCAGAGAGGCATAACTTTGCTGAGTTCTGTCATTCCCTGTTTAGTTGCATAAGAGAAATCAGAATTTAGCCCCTCATTTTTTTCAGGGATAATCCTGCATTGCCAGTATGAATTCCCCTCTGATTTGCACATCATCAGCAAAACTGCCATTTGAAATATATTTGAAAAATATTTATTGCTGATGATGCTACAACAGGCAGAAATGACAGAGTTCCAGTATCAGTTTCCAGTTTGGATTTTCAGTATTGGCAGTCAGAAAAGGCATCTTTTTGTTACAGCTTAAGAAACTTGATACAGAATAACTGAAACTTAAGAAATACAAAACCCCACAGTACCATTTTTGCAATAGGTTCTGCAGCTTTACTCCAGGTCAGAAAAGCTTTTCTAGCATGGTCTCTTACATGACAGTATGATTGTGGTCCTGGCAGTCCACCTAACCCAATATTATAAATTCAGGACATGAATTCCCTTCAAGTTATTTCTAACTCACCGCCTCAGATTTTTTCATTTCACAGATTTGCTTCAGATAATATAACACTTTGATTTTACAAACACTCACCTTTTTTTAAGATACGAATTAAGATATTCTTTATGAACAAAGAATCAATGATAAAATATTCTTAATAGGTCTTCCAGAGAACTTGGAAAGAAAAAGTAGAGTGTACTTACCAGGCAGAATGTTAAAGAGATTTCTGGTTTGGGTATGTCAGCAGATGACTGTCTCTTGATGTCGAGTATATTTAAAGACTACTGAATTGGTTTAGTGGACCCCTTAAATGTAACTTTAAAATAGAGCTTCTAAGTAACTTGGAAGCCCTTTTATTGTCTCAGTTGATGTCACTCTCTCGACACACACCCTCCTCCTGACCCTCATGTACCCACCCTCGGATGCTTTTGTTAATTTAGCATTTACAGGGAAAGAGGGCTCAGCAAAAAGAAAGTCCTGGGTAGCTGTGAAGAGGGTAAATGGGGCTGCAAGGTCAGTGATCTACAAATGCAGAATTAAAACAAAATATTGAAAAGCTAGGATCTGTAATGCTCGTGGGAAATTAGAAAAGTCACTTCAGGCCAGCTAGATGGTTTATTTGTAAAAGAATATACTGGAGAGGAGCAGAAGCCCCAAGAATGATAGAGGATCCTCTTTTTAAAAAGAAGCTGGTGCCACTGAAAAGTTGTTCAAATGATCTGCTCCACCTGCCCCTGTGAATATCCCTGAACACCTCAAATGTGCCAGGTAGAATGAAGGCATTTGAAGCAGCTGTGATACAAATTAGTACTTTATAAATCTAGGAAAAGAGTTCCCTTCTAAGAAGGGAAATGTGTAAATCAGAGGTACTTTCCCATATGCATGAAGAAAGATTATTTTTGGCTGCAAGATGTTTTTCCTATATTAGGCACTTCTTCTGAGTTCCAGTGTATTTTTCCAGAAAAAAAACCCCAACAAAACCCCACAAACAAAAGCCAGTTTGCATCTGCACATTTTAACACACAATTTGGAAGATATTATTGCTTTTACCACGAATACTTTATGTTTATTTTATATTCCCCCGGTATTTTATAAAGAGATAAAAAAATACACTTTATAATACCACTTTACGTAGATGTTGTTCTCATGGGAAAAGGAAGGGAAATCCAAAAAAGCTCTGGAGATCTCATGGTTCCCTTAGTAAATAGAAAAGAGAGTAACTGAGAAGTAATGAAGTTATTCACTTAGACAAGTTCAAGAAAACAGGGTAAAGATAGTTTCCAGCATTATACTGTCAGGTGTCAACACCCTTTCCCCCCACACACAAATGCAGGGGCTTTATGGGAATATGTTTTATTAGATCTGTATCTCTTGTGACCACCAGGGATACTAACCTGAAGGCAAAAATGTGACTAAATTATTACAAAGGTGTATTCATAGTTATAATGTGAATAAAAATGGACATGGCATAACAGGAAAGGATTTCAAAGTGGTGATGAGAAGCTCCAAGTTTCAGATTTTACCACAATATGTGTGAAACCTTTGGCAAAACCCTCAAGGCAGGTTTTTTTACAGAGGCTTGACATTCCTGTGGAACCTTTAGCGTGGGATGGCAAAGCCTGAACTAAAGGACGAGGGTTAGAAAATCCAGTGTCTGTATACAGAACAAAAAAATCATGATTTCTCATAAACTGGCAACAACTGGTAGCAAAAGCTGGCAATAAACCATTAGCAGCATTTGCAAAAGGAGTGTCAGCAGACTTGAGTTGCCCATGTTACTCTCTGAGTTGCAGCTGTGCCCCCTGCAGCACCCAAGTAAATCTGGTAGAGACCCCAGGCTGGAGCTTTGAATAAAACTAATACAGAGGAAACACCAGAGTATGATGCTGTAATTGAGAATCCTGACTTCAGACAACCTGTGGTGTGTCAGTATGGATGCCCTTAAACAAGATGGAATTTTAGCTGGTTTATTTGCAGCATGCCTACTCCTTAAAGCAGCTCTGATTTCTTTTTATTGTCATTTTTATTCAAAGGTAGTGACAGGTTGTACCTAAAATCTCGAACAAAGATGGCTTAACTTGATACTTAAAAAAAAAGTGGTTTGCCTCAGATCAGTGAAGATGTAAAAATTAAAAAATATTGGCCCCATTATATGTAAAAAATAAAAGCTGTGATGGCAATTAAAGAAACTCCACATTGCACCTCAAAATTTGCATGGTTGTATATGCAGGGGATAAAAAGTAACTTATTTGGATTTGGATTATTATCCCTGGTATCTAGAAATTATGTTATTTGAAAATACAGCTGCTAGTAACTTGCCCAATTTCATCCACATTTGCTAACCTTGGCATATCAAGTGTGTAAATGACAGATAGTGGACCAAGTGAATGCATTTTATTTACCAAATATTTTAATTGTGTACACTTCTGTTTGGACACTGTATCCACTGTTTAATGGTGAGCTGAAAATGGTATTGAGCTCTTTTAATGTTTCAGGTAGATGATGATTCATGTTCAGATTCAATTTTTTCTCTTTCTTAAGCATCCTTTTAAAAATTCATATCTCTTTTGGGGACTACTTAATAGAAGAGCTGGACCCAGGAAACCAGGGCTAACAACTGCTGAACTACTGTTCAGTAGGAGGCCTAAGACTACCCAAATTTATAGACACTACCATGAAAAAGAAAGAAAAAATAAACATTATCCCCTCAATTAAAAGGCATTTCACAATCCTTTGTAGGTATAAGACCTTACACACAAATACAAAGGCAAAATATGGAAAATCCTGCAGTTTCTTAGGAACTTTTAGTGCCTACAAATGAGGACTGACCTACAGAAGACAACTTTTACTCCTCTTGGAGTAAGAAGAGGGAAAACACAGTGGGTTCTGAGTTTCCATATCCTGAAAGCAGCAGGCTGAGAATGAGCCTCAGTGGGTAAGACTGAACAGAGCAGTCAGGAGAATATAAACCACCAAATGCTTCAGTAACCCACCAGACAAAGGCAACCAATTCAGAAGCTGATTGCAAACTACTGGTGTAGATGCTGCTTTGTCAATACTGACATTTCTTTCCCTTTGGAAGAGGTAACTTTTGATGAGACTCAGGCTGAAGTACAATAATGTTCAAAGATTGTAGTTCAAACATGTGACTACTTCTCTATGTACACCATCAAACTTTCTCAGGCAGGATCTAAGCTTGGATGGAGTGTCCTCTTCTAGCATCCCCTAAACCCATGGAATGCTATATTGGAAATGAGACAATATAACAATTTTCAATATAACTATAAACTTCAGAGTTTATTACAGCAAAGGCCTCTCTGGGCCACGAGGCATTATAGACACCCAGCAAGGGCATGGCACTTCTGAGGATGAGGGAGAGGGCTGAAGAACTGGATGCTGGAATCACGGTGTGGAAGAGCTGACCACAGCCTTTTCCTCTGAGAGGACTTTTTCTTGATCAACCAGAAAACTACCCTTCCCTGACCTTCCCTTATAGATTGTACAGATACCTGAATCAACTGGGCATGAAAAAAACCTGTGTTGCTTTGCTTGCAGGTGGCGTGCCACTGACGTTGAATTTGTGCCGTTGAATGTAACCAGACTCCAGGGTTGAAAACAAGGGGAGAGCAATTAGACAGGTTTTACAGCCAGGTAGGTGAGCAATGACCAGATTGTAAAAATTCTGAATTTTGTGTGTACTTTCATGTATATTCTATTCATTTTGTCAGGGGAAAATATTATACTGCACCTGCAAATTAAACAAATCCCGAGGTACATTACTGGAATATGGTTCGAGGACACAAAACTGTCTAGAATTATAGTCTTAAGTGACTAAAGCAGATTTTCACAAATTAATTATGTAATCTGGTGTATTCCTACAGGATTCTTCATCCTCTAGATTTAAGGCTTCAGTGCTGCAGTCAGATTATTGCAGTGCTATTTACAAAAGCAGGCTTTTTCCCCATTGCTTGCTCCAGTGGGTGGTTCCAGATAAAACGCTTTCTGACTGCGGCTGTGGCTGGGGGAACACTGGTAAGTCATTGAGCAAAGTAATTGGTGACACACTGGACGACTGGTGAGGCAACTTTTCTAAATGTGTCCAAGGAATGTTTCTCCCTTGACACAATGAAAAGCCAAAGTGACAGTCAGTAAACTCTTCAGGACCTCGTTTGATTGACGAGAGTTGTGGCTTTTCAAATACCGCAGCAGCGTGTTTGGTAATTTATGTAAGCAATGTTGGGTATCTTCAGGTGCTTTGTGGGTTCATGCAGCTAGATGAAGCTTCAACCACATGCCAGATAAAAAACAGCACAGAGGCTTCTGTGAAAATCAAAAG